TACTCTCAATTACCTGACCTCCTCTCCCGGAGCCTGCACTCGGCACTGGGAAGGTCGATCTAGTAACACCACCCTGCGACTGCTGAGGGTTAAAACCCCTCTGCCTCCTGCCATCACTCTGACCAACTTGGCTCCTCTTGGAGCCTCTCTGCCCCTCATCCTCCTTCTGCATCATAATTTCCATATGAGCTGCAGCATCCACTAGGTGTCTATACTCTCGGATGTAAGACCCACCAACTCTCAGCTTGAGGCTCCGCCTCAACTTCCGCTCAAACTCATAACAACGGCGTTCCTCGGACGCCACCAGTTCAGGTGCAAACTTGGACAAACTAGTAAAAGTAGCCTCAAACTCGGCCACTGATAAGCCCTGCTGATTAAGCCGGCTAAACTGATCCCTCAGCTTCTCTCTAGCCACTGCAGATAAAAACCTCTCCTGGAAAGCATTTACAAACGCCTCCCATGTACCACCAACACGAGCCTTCTCGTACTTCCACCATTCACCCGCATCTCCCTTCAGCTGGAAGGATGCCAAGGTCACTTTCAATGCTCCGTCCTCGATGCCAAGCATCTCGAACGTTTTACTCATCTGCTCTAGCCACTCGTCAGCCTTCAGTGGCTCCTTCGGATCCCCGATAAACTCATCCGGATTAGACCGGTAAAAAACTCCTCTCTTCAAGAAAGAAGGCCCTACCTCAGTTGCCTGATTCCCAGCTCTAAGAATACCAAAGCTCCTGCTATCTCTCTGGCCAAGGCACCCATGGCCTGCTGACCCACTGGCTCGGCCACATTGGCCTGGCCAACTCCCTCCTGCACTGCCGGAATCTCACCGTAACGGTACTTCCTGCCTCGCAGGTCTACCACGCCTAGCACCTCTTCTCGTCCTGACATCCTAATAAAGTGTAACACAGAACATTAGCACATTCACAAATGTGCCGAAACTAAACACTCACGTCCTAATGCGTGGACAACTGTTAATTCACTCCACATAAGCACATTAAACACATAAGCATTTACGAATTTCATTTCCGGATAATGATAGTCCCGAGGCGTTACTAGAGTTCCGGTTAGAACAGCATTGATCAAGTGCTTTCCAACAAGACTCCCAGAAACCCAAGGATCCAATCAACATCCTAGAAACTAAATCCCATACCCACATAGTCACATAAGCATGTTATCAGTTAAGCATACAGCATTGATACTACATCTAAGTCTCTATCAAGCGAGACAAACCCATTGTGATTCTAATCACTTCCCACGTACCCAAAGTATTCGAACCCGGTACGCTCTGATACCAAGTTGTAACGCCCTCAAAATAATAACAATAAACTCATCAGATAAGACATGCATTGACATATAAACTAACCACATTCTTTTATTCATTAGTGTCTCATTACATAAGTATTATATGTTAACATCAATACAAAATTCCCTACGGGCTTACAGCTTTCCAAGTTAACACTTGGTTACAACAAAAGAGTACTAACTCATACACGTTAAGCCCTTGGCTTGAGTTTACATGTAATACATTAAAAGTAAATCAACAAAAGTGTGCCCGCCTCTAGCCTCCCAAGCTATGTCCTTGGAGGTGGCATGCTACCTGCACGTGAAAATGATATTCCCATATAGGGTGAGCCACAGCCCAGTAGAAATACACTAAACCAACCATGAACAATGACTAAAATATTAGCAATTGATAGATGGCCAACACTGATACATTCACATAAATCACATATTTAGGTTAACCGACTCATAAGTCCAAGTTACTTTTCATTTTCCCTTTTTCAACAGATAGGCATATAAGCTCTACCCACATTCTAAACAGATATGTATAACAACAATATCCACATTCTCAGATAAGCAATCAGTTATATCCACATTCTACAACAGATATGTATAACAACAATACCTACAGATAAGCATATAAGCTATATCCACACTTCACAAGATAAGTATATGAGCTCTATCTTCACTTTACTAGACAAGCATATGAGCTGTATCTACGGAGTTCATCCCCTATCTTCTCCCAACACTATCCGGTTTAGAGGTACATCCCCTATCTTCCCCTAAACCGCGGAGTACATCCCCCATCTCCTCCTCTACACATAACGTATACAAACACATTGGTTCTATATACAATCACGCAATACATATAATTAATGTATTCTATCAACCGTCAAATTCCATGACACATTCCATTGATTAGTTTCCGTTTACCTAATCATCATGCATTGTCTACAACAATCACGACTATCCTCCACCGATAGCCCAAAACAGTTATTTCTAAACAGAAAATAAATGCACAATGGATATTCAATCAACATTACATTCCCTCATTTCTCACAATTAATTATCCCAATTAATCAAACAATGTAATTAGGTCAATTCCCATAATTAACATTTCAACCCTTAGGTCCCATTTTCATCAATGACTTAACATTTATTCCATTTCTCAATGCCCAACATGCATCTAGGTTTATTATGAATAAAACCCCAACTTTTGTAAAATAACACAAAAGCCCCAAACCTTCACAAAATCACAAACCAACTCCAACATCTCAAAATACCAAAATTTAAAGACAAAATTCATAGAGAGGAGTAGGATATCCCTACCTCAAATTCGGAGCCCCAAGGGAGAAGAAGGTGAAACCCAACGTGCTCCAAAACCCGAAATTTTCAGATTAAAAAATAGCCCTCGACGATCAACAACTTTTTTGTAAAGGCCAAAGATGAGCAAATCACTCCTACTAGATCAAAACCTAGAGAGAAGGTAGAGTTCTAGAGTGAGAGGCTCAACAATGGTGTTTTTGGAAAAGTAGGAGAGAGAAGAGAAAGTGAAAAAGTGACTTGAAAAGTCAAAACACGGAACTAAAACCCAGTCGGCCCGCTCGAGCGTAAAACACTCCGCTCGAGCGTAACTCACAGACTCCCGCTCGAGCGCCAACAATCCCGCTCGAGCGGCGAATACACACTCCCAGAACTTCTGCAGAACCAGGTCTCCGCTCGAGCTGCACTCACGTAACCCCGCTCGAGCGGCCAATACCACGCTCGAGCGTCCAACACTGCACGGAAAATACTGGATAGGTGCAATCCCCGCTCGAGCGCCAACACCCCCGCTCGAGCGGACAGGTCAAAATCTGGGCAACTAGTTTTGGTTTCTAAACTCAACCAACCTGTAACAAATCTGCCCAACACATCCTATAACTCTAATATAAAGTAAAGAGGATGCAAACAAGATAATAAACAACTACCAACATCCACGGACACATGTCCGGATCACTGTACAACAAGGGTAAACCCGGGATCGCTATATGCAATCTCACCTTTTTTTACACAACATGCAATTCAAAAGGATTAGCATACTCTATCAATGACATTATATACAACCTGCAACAGCTAACTTTGTGTAAAAGTGGTGTTGGGTGATTGAACGAATAGACATTTGAGCCTCACACCATGCTCTGGTTTTTGGTTTCTTTTGCTCTTCTCTATTTTCTTTTTCTAGTTTTGTTCTTGTCTTTGTTGGTTGGTTTCTCTCTAACTAGTGGGGTTGGGCCTTTGCAAGTGATAGGGCTCGTTTTTTGGTACCAACCTAGTTACAATGGAATTACTAGATTTGATTTTCAATGCTTTCTCCTCCCTTTGTTAATCTATTATCTTTGTATGGTGTACTATGAATTTCATCATTAAAGTTCTTCTTAGTTGTTCAAAAAAAAAATTGCACCGCTTTATCCATTTATCGTTAATAAGGCTAGCATAAATTAAAAGTTGAAGAATTAAAGTGAGATTTTCATAAAAGTATAAAGACTAAAGTGAGATTTTAGTAAAAGCGTAAGAGTGCTAACGAGACCCAAAAAAATGTCACATAGGTTTCAAGTGACAAGTTCTATAAACTTCGTTAATGACAAATAGATAGAAAGGTAATATTACAACTTGATAAAAAATATAGGGTTTGACTATTACCAAGGGTGACGCTAGCTTGGGGATCACCCATCAACCTATCAAAAACTCTTAATAAAACAACTACTTATATTATTAATATTTTATTTAATTTGATTTAATCTTATTGAAATTAAGGGACCTCATTGTATAGTTTGACATCAATGAATGAATAATTTTTTAATTACATATATATAAAAAATGTGTTTGACATTATTAACAATGAAATTACTATGCAACAGTTCTAAAAAATAAAACCACTTGAAATGCAAGTGTAAAAGTTTATATTATCTGTTATTCAAACCAATAAGACAATATTTTTGCAGTTTATTCTACTTAAAATTTGAGAAGTTTAGTTATAAAAAGTAAATAAATAAAAGGTTTGAAAAGTTTAAGGAAATGTTTGGGGTTTGGACTTTTTAGTAATTTTTAAATTTTTTGATTGTTTTATAATGTGAAAAAAAAAGTCAGGTGGATTTGATAATGCCTTTTTTTTTCGTTGAATGAAAAAACATGTTGATTGGTATTTATGACTTGCTTTTGTAGCAGCTTTTAACTTTTTGTTTTTGTACTTTAAAAAATAAATAAAAATAAAAATAAAAATAAACTTTTGACTTTTTTTTTTTTAAACTTAAAAGACAAGTTTTCTAACAAGGCCTAAATGTTGTTTAGTTTAAAAGTTTTTTCTAGTTTCTAAAATTTGTCGAACTTGAACATGCAAGGTGATCCCATCTCTACAAATTTTTGGAGACGCCACTTAATATTACAATTGAAAGTAAATGAATTAAAGTGAGATTTTGGTGGAAATTCAAGGATGCTAAATGTAATTTAACCCAGGTTCTTTTAAAATATCAATTTTGTACCTAATCTATTTGATTTTGGATCTATTTCACCCCACTGTCAGTTGTCGTCTATAATCAAATGAAAGTTACTAACGTAACACCAAAACTTCATTTGAAATTTCATTTTGCCCCCAAATGAAGTTTAATATGACTCATACAACAAATATGATCAGATTTACACTCAATTCTTTTTCTTTTTTCTTTTTTCTTTTTTCATTGCAGAATTTCGCAATATCAACAACTTAGAGGAGCTGGATTTGAGTCACAATTTAATAGAAGATATAAAAGGTATATAATAGCGATTTCCCAAAAGTTTTTAAAGGTTTTACTCTCAATTTCCTAGCTGAAAAAGATTTAAAGGCAATATTGTTCACTTATAATATTATTTCACACAACAGGTTTTGTACAAAAATAATGTTTGTAGATCATTATCCCAAATGAAGCTCTCCAAGTTTCTTAGTAAATAAACTAACTATTCCTTTTTTTTCTTTTTTTCTTTTTTTTAATAAATAAGATGGATTTCATACCAATTTTGTGTTTTCTTTTAGTTTGTGAGGATGGTGGTGACTTGAAATGGAAATTGATTTTTGCAGGTTTTGAAAGACAATCTGTGTTAGGCAAGCTGGAGCTACTTGATTTGAGCTACAATTTATTCAATGGCATCATACCATCTCTTGTTTTTCTCTCATCACTCAAGACTTTAAACCTACAGGGCATCAATTTGAATGGATCAATTGATATAGGAGGTAAGTCTAATAATAAAACACTTCAAATATTCACAACAAGACAATCTTTCTAGCATCAAAATGAGTCGATAACCACATGAACAAGTGCACAATATCCATGTGTTCCACCACCTACTGAGACTAGTAGACAATCCCTTTGAAGATCCCCTATGTTCTTTATCGGTTTTTGTTATGATCAATGTTAGGAAAAATTATTAAATATTCTCAGAGGTATTGTTTACATGGCATTTTCGATAAATGAAAAATCACAATACATTCAAAATGAGTCATTCTTTATCTTTCAACTACCTAACAAAGATTAGTCAACTTATTTTACTTGTAAAATTTTTTGCTACGTGATTGGTTTGAAACACCATAAAAGCAATGCTACTTGTCTTAGACCAAATTTGTGGGAAAACAAATTATTAAGTAGTGTCGGAGTACCAAGTGACATTTTCTATATGGTGCTCCTGACAATGTGAAATCACAAAATACACTAGGTGAGCCATTCCTTATCTCCCAATTACTTAACAAATATATGTCAACATTGTCTCATTTGTAAAATGTTTAGTTACATCATTAGTTAGAAACACCACATACACAAATATCACATGATATTCCTAAAGTATCAAATAATTACCCAATTTCATAATAGTCAAACTCGACAAAAACCCCATAATAGGACCAAAAGAGCGAGTCTTGATTGAGATTGAATCTATTACATAAAGGTATATCTTGCTGAATTTATAAACCAATAGGGCTTTAGATTTACTCAATTTTTGTTTCTTTTTTAATATTTTTCTTTTCATTTTAGAATTCCATAATATGAGCAACTTAAAGGAGATGGACTTGCGTGACAATCACATAGACTACATAAAAGGTAATGATGAAGGTGTTAGGGTTGTATTCCCTTTTTCCAAGTTGAAAAAAGATTTAGGGCAAAATTTATTTTACCTTCTTATAATCAAAGTTCGGAATATTTTATCCCTTTATTTTTTAAATATAGGCAAAGAGTACTCTTGTAGTTATGTACTAAACTATACTATTAACTCTGTTAACAGAAAAAATAAGAAAAAGACACTATACCCACGTCCTTGTCTTCTTCATCTTTCTCTGTTAATAGATAATAAATCACTATCACCATTGCATTTAACCCAACCACCACTATTAATTTTAATAAATAAAAAATAAGGATAATTACTATTCAATGTTAACTTTTATAAATAATATTAACTTAGTGGTAAAATTCATGTACATTAATAATTAAAGTGTTAAATTTTTTTATGAATTTGTAATTATTTTGTAAAACATTATATTTTTCCTAAAAATATACACAGACTAATCTCATTAAAAAATAAAAATAACCCTAGAAGTATATTACAAAAACTATACACATATACACCAATGATAATATATATCCAGTAATTGAAACTCTACATATAACTAACCCTAATATTTAAAATTAGCAAATTGAACCAGTATGAAATGTGGTTGTGTGCGAAGCATAGAACGTGACTGTGTGTGCAAACTATGGCCGTCTACACAATTGTGTTGGAAGTGCGAATCATAGATGTGGTTGTGATTCTCTGAGAACTAGGGGAGAGGTGAGGTGGTAATTGGAAAGGTCGGGAAGAGATAGAGAGGGGGTTGCGGCAATTGTTGATGAAGGGAGATGTAATGGCAGGTGGTTGGGGAGGGGAGAAGGGGCAACGGCTGGTGTCGGAGATAGGGTGGCAAGGTGGTTGGAGGTTGAAGTGGAGAGTTTTTTAAGTTTGAAGGTAGATGATGAAGATGAAAGGATGAATTGAGAAGTTGGGTAAAAATGACCTTTTTCATTTTGATTTTACTTTAGTTTCAAGAAATAAATATATCCAATCTCAAAGTTGGCAAGTCCATTATGTCAATTTTGACGGAAAAAGTAACCATTGCAATTTAGTCCAAAATTACAAGAGAGTTCTCTATCTACATTTGAACTATAGGAGGTAAAGTATTCCAAGTTCACACAACAAGATCATGTATTTACAATATTGTTTTTTTCACACAATAGGTTTGAAGAGTTGAAGCAAGCTAAAGATGTTGAACCTTAGATGGAATGAATTGAAAGGATTGGTTACTAGTAATGGTGAGAACTCAAGCTTACTTTGAATTGGCATTAATTCACTGGAGTCCACGGTGCTTTATAAAATGAGCTGACAATGCTTTTTTAAGGTAACGACAAATGCTCATAGATTTTGTACAGAGTAGTATTATAGAAAGAAAAAAAAATTATAAACATTTTATTCAAATTGATGTGGCTCCTATCATGTTAATTTACTGGATCCCATTTTAAATTCTCAAGTTCTATATTGCATGCCACGTTGGTAGGTATAGTGTTTTCTTTATATAATAACAGGAAGCTCTATTAGATCTATTATGTTAGGAAAAGGCTATAGTACAACTATTTTGTAACAAAACCACAAAGATTCATAATTTTTCTTACCATAATAGTTCATAAATTCTTAATGTATATAACATAACCACATTAGGTCGTAATGTAACAAAAAAATTCGTAATTAAGACTTTTATTACAGTGCACCCCTTTCTAACATAACCACAATAGTTTGTAACTAGGGTAAATTACAACAGTAGTCCTTGTACTTTGGTTCTTATGTCATTTTGGTTCATGTAATTTCAATTAACTCGATTTTGACCCTGAATTTATAATTTTATCTCAATTTGGTCCAATTGATTACAACCTTTAACATTTTTTTATGTACAATACGTACATAAGTGGCATGCGTCATAATTTTAAGGACAAAAATATAAACTTAATTAACTCAGTGAGTTAATCTCAACCAATTCAGTGATAATTTTCTGTCAAAATCACAACCAGTATTATCAATTAGACCAAATTGACACAAAATCTAAAATTAAGAATCAAATTTGAGCCAATTGAAATTGTAGGGACCAAAATGATACAAAGGACAAAATGTATGGACCATTGATGTAATTTATCCTTGTAACTAATACCGTAAAATTTCAATTTTTTTTCTTATCATAAGAAGTGTGTACCATATCCTTTTTTGTTGTCTTTTGTTACATAGTTGAGGTATTGGGCCATGTCGTATTGGGCCATGATTCATCACCTTATCACAATGATTTGATATTTGCAGATTCTTTGTGACTTTCATGTAAGGTATCACCATATTTTCATGGCACATAATTTTTAGTGAATAATTCTTTAGCTACATCTTTCAGGGTTGGATGAATTGAAACACTTACAAGAGTTGTATTTGGATTATTCATCCATTGACAAGATCTTTCTTCATAATGTTGGAGAATTGTCCTCCCTAAGGGTGTTGACATTACGGAATATTAGCCTTAATGGAAGCCTACCTAACCAAGGTATTCACAATTTGATCATATTCCTTGGATCAATTGTGTTATGATTTGAATGTGCCTCCATGTAGATAAAATGTCTGAGCTAGGCATCACTTCTTTTATTTCACAAGTTGGTGTGAACTTTCTAACCTCCAAGAGTTAGATCTTAGTGAGAATGGTTGTAATGGAATGCTTCCCTCATGTTTGGGAGACTTAACATCAATTCGAATATTGGACCTCTCTTTCAATTAGTTCACTGGAAATCTTACTTCATCTCCCCTTAGTAATCTCGCAACACTTGAATATCTTATCCTTTCATACAACCATTTCGAAATCCCAATCTCATTTATTTCATTTTGTAACCATTCAAAGGTTAAGGTATTTTTAGGTGACAACAACAAATTGAGTGATCAAATTGAGTTTCAAACATGGATTCCTAAGTTCCAACTGAAGGTTTTCAGTTTATCAAACTGTAGATCAAGCAATCTTGGTATGAAATTTCCACATTTTCTCTTTTACCAATATGACCTCAGAATTGTTGATCTATCACACAACTCGGTCAGAACATTCCCAGTTTGGTAGTTAGAAAACAATACGCGATTGGAAGTTTTTCATCAAATAAATTGCTTCCTCATGGGGCCTTTCCTACTACCATCATATCCTAATCCCCATGTGTAGCTCGGCTTTTCGCGCTCCCTTTCGGAAGAATGAATAACCCTTACAATTCGGACTCCACTTGTGTGTTGGTTCTGATTATGATTTCACAACAATGTGAAACAATGGAAACACAAAAAGAGTCCAAATCTGTCAATTTCTTTTGGAAAATCGATGTTTGAATCAAATGCCAAAAATTGACTGCTTTGCCAGATTTTAGAGTCGCCACCTAAATATTTATTTTTGAGAAATTTAGGAAACCCATGACTCGTGCCAAAGGCCATTAGTCCGTCGTTACCAAAGTGTCTTGGTTCAGGAACTTAGGTACAAGAGGGGAAGGTCAATAATTGAACACCCCACTCACCCGATCAAAGATCGGCCTCTACTAATCATGATGTGGTTTTTATTTACAGTATATGCTCTTGTTCTATATGTAACATACAAGTATAGACTAATTTCATGAAAAGTTGGAACATTTGATTTCATGTTTGTTTTGAAAAAAATGTTTTGAATATGTATCACTGAAAATGGTGATCTCATATATACATGAATCAAAGTATCCGAATTCAAGTGATTAGCCTTCATCCACAGGCATTCAAATAGGTATATCAAATAAGCAGTTAGCCTCATGGTATTATGTTTTGATATGACAACATTCACACTTATGCAATATGCTAAAGCAAAAATGCTTACCTTAATGTCCAAAGGCGAGTCCAAAAAGAAAGCAAATAGTTAGAAAAAAAATGCATGATCCTAATTTAATGACTAATGCAACACATGCAACGTGCAATTAAGGTTCAACTACTAGTATGGCATGTGAGTCAATTCAAGGCATGTGATAGCGCATGTATGCAAGTAAGGAGTTTGAATTTGACATTTGAGTAATATGATGAGCCGAACTTTTATGCATGTAAACGAATGGATGTAAATCATGGAAAATGCTAATTAAACATGATGTCCCTAACCTAACCATCATAAGAAGTGAAATAAAAGGGAGAAAGAATGGGGGTTGGAAGACATACAACTTATTACATATTTGTCCTTGCGAAGGAGGGTCCGAATGTCCAAATGTCCGAATAAATAATTATTACAAAGCCAAATGACTAATAAATGAAAGGGGCTGTCTAATTTATTACAATAATAATTTGCAGTTTTGGGAGAAAACCAACTACTTATAGAAATCCAAAGTAATCCTAGTTTTGGAAGAAAACCAATTTCTTATAGAAATCCAAAGTAATCCTAGTTTTGGAAGAAAACCAATTTCTGATAGAAATCCAAGATTCTGTGTCCGCGCGGTCCGCTCGAGCGTGGGAATTCCCGCTTGCGCGGAGGCTTCAAAATTGTGTGATTCATATAGGCTTCACGCCCGAGCGGTAGTTTCCACGCTTGAGCGTCGAATCACACCATCCAGTACTTTTTCAGGCGAAACAGAGATGCTGTGAGCTTGCAATCCCCGCTCGAGCGTCACTTTCCCCACTCGAGCGGGACGACCAAAATTGGAAAATCTGAAAAACTTGATCCTCTTACAACCTCAGTTTTGATCCATGGAAATTGACAAAGGCACGATTCAGGTTGAATTCGCATCTAATAAACTCGTAGCCTCACTGAAATAAAAGGTGCGAAAACAAATACAACTGAAAGGAGTTTTGTCAAATGGGGTTGCCAAGAATAAAACCTAACACCCCTAAATAGCATACAATAGTGCTGAAATTAAGCTATAGAAAGCGAGCAAAATTAGATAGGATCAAGTTAGTAAACAAGTAGAAGGAAGGGTGGCTAACCCCTCCACTTTTACAACTTCAAATCACATAGTTTAGATGTTGAAAAACAGCCCCAAAAGAATTTGAGAGAAACCTACCACTTTTAATATTCACCGCTGGAAGTTACTATTCACCGCCGAAGGTTACTATTCATCTAGTGGGGTAAATTATTTAAAGTAATAAATTACAACAGTTTATAAATATTATTTAAATTACAGCAGATATACGGGTGGTGCAGCCTTCCCATTAAAGCGATAAAAAAACAGTTATGAAAAGAAGTAAATGAAATATTTAAACAAATTATATCACATTTTTAAATTAAATGAAAATTTGCGAAAACTCACCTTTTGGGGAAATGATGAATTTTCTGAGTCACAAACTTTCTTTTGATTACTCTCAAGTCTGTGGAATGTGTTCTCAATTCTCAGTCCAAAATTTAGAATTACAACTTTAGTGATTATTTTTTGAATAATGTACTGATAAAATACAAATAAAGATATCAAAAAAAATATTTTATTTTCCCTCCTATCTCAAGGGACATATACTTTGCCCTTTTACTAATCAAAAATGCTTTAGAGCTCTAATATAAGAGCTCTAATAGCTCTAAGGGGAAGGTGAGACCCACCCTGATGTGATATTTGTGCCTTGTTTTGTTTTATTTTGTTTTTTTTTTACTTTGACACATCATTAGAGCTCAA